CTGTCAAGGCAGGTGAGTGCCTCTCACAAACCCTGCGGAGGACACCATCCCTGCCTCCACTACCATCACAACAGCAAACATTCACTGTAACCCATGGTGTGCAAGGCAGAGGGCCCAGTGATGGAACGAGGAGTGAGGGACAGAAAGAGGAATGAGGGACAAGATAGCATGACAGAAGAGAAAGGAAGGATGTGTCTGTTCTCCAGGGGTGCTGGTCTGATGTCCCTGAGTCGCTGAAGCAATGCCAGCAGCATCTTTATGGGCAGAAAGAGCAATGCCCATAAATAGCCGTGCGTCCTCCCATCAAATAAAGAAGGTGGCTGGGCTCTGATTCACCTGTTTATTCAAGCTATAATTACTGAGCCCCACGGCAGAGGCTGCTGGCCTCCGCCTTATTTCCTGGGAATGGAGCTCTTTCTAGCAGCGTGCATGACTGCCGGGAATAAAGGAACACCTCCCAGACTGTCCTGTATCTATACATGAGCAGCGACCACTTAATGGGATGTAGCTGGATGTGGTGTGCTGCCTTCCTAAAGGAAAGTGGCTGTGCCCCAATCGTCCCTCCTCCTTCCTGCTGTCTGACACATGGATATACAGGCTAGACCTGAGCAGCTGTTTCAGGCTACGAGAACACCGGGAGACGGTGGAGCAGAGAGTGGAAGCGGCCTGGATCCCTGAGGGCTGTGTGGAGCCGAGCTGCCCGCACCACCCGCACTGCCCACCTTTGGAGGTTCTACTCGAGGGAACAAATCTCGTGTGGTTGGGCCAGTGGTAACTTGGGGTCTGCGTCCCTTGCTGCTGAACCTAAGTCTGGTGGATATAAGTGCCTACTGTGCATCAGGACCCTGTGCTAAGGACTGGGACCTCGAGAATGGATAAGAGGAAGACAGCCCCTGTGCCCAGGAGCTTACAGTCTAGAGAGAGACAGATCAGACCTCCATCACGCCGCCTGAAATAAGCCAGGCTGGCACGGAGCAGATGCTCACAGTCTGTTTGCTGAACAAAGCAGGAATTCCAGGTGAACTGTTGAATCCAGTCAGAGTGGACCATGGCTTGGCCCCAGCAGGTCATAGAAGGCACTGAAAGGCACATACTGCGCGATCTCACTCACATGTGGAATCTGAAAACGTTGATCTCACAGAAACGGAGAGTGGAACGGTAGCTAGCAGAGACTGGAGGGGTGCAGGTGGGAGCTTGGTCAACAGGTGCAAAGCTCCAGTGAGAAGGGAAGGACAGCCCTGGTGTGCTGTGACACAGCAGGTGAACAAGGATGTGTCATGTATTTCACGGGAGCTGGTAAAGAGAATCTCAGTGTTATCCCAACACAGAAGTGGTAAAGGTCAGAGGGGCTGACACGCTAACCACCCTGCTTTGATCATTATGTCCTGTGTGCACACGTGGAAGCACCACACTGAACCCAGAAACATGTACAATTTTCATGTGTCAATTCAAAACAAACATTCATTTGAAAATACGCTAACAACACATTCACCCAAGCTGATAAATGCAGTGAACTAAGGGAACAGCTGGCTTGCTAAGTCAGAGAATAGAGACAAACGGCACATCGCAGCCAGACAGGGCTTCCAGAAGGAGGCAGGTTTTAGGGAGAGGTATTGGAGAAAAGCACGTTATAAGAAGTTGTCTCCTATTATTAATCTTGACCAAAATTCAGAAACAGGAAGACAGAGGCTGATCCATCTGTAGCCGACAAAGGCATTTGTGCAGGGCAACGGACCCAACCCCTCGGGAGAGAAGGGGAGCTCCTTCCATGCCTGGGCCTTGGGTGTGTCCTTGGTGGGTCAGCCCTGGGGCTGCAGCTGGCTGCCGTCCGGTTGCATCCAGCTCAGCGAGCACTCAGCCACTAGCCCTGAGTCTCCAGACTACCTGGGACACAACGGCCCTTTGCATGAGCACAGGTTCCTGGGCCCTGCTCGTTGGAGATTTCTGATTTTGTGGAATTAAATTAGTATTGGTGAGATCTAAAAGCCCAAGGAATAGTGAACTTCCAAAAACTCAGATTTAAAAGGGGCCTCAGGTTGTCTGGCCCAAACAGCCACAGGGCTGTGACCCCCTCTCACCCTTACCTGCCCACACGGCTGCCAGCAGAGGCAGATTCTGCCTTCCAGGGCTGCAGTCCTCTCCCTGCAGGAAATTGTACTGGAAGGAAATCTGGCCCGGGCACAGGGGCTCACATCTGTAATCCCAGCACTTTGGGAGGCCTAGGCAGGTGGATCGCTTGAGTTCAGGAGTTTGACACCAGCCTGACCAACATGGTGAAGCCCTGCCTCTACTAAAAATACAAAAATTAGCCGGGCATGGTGGCAGGCAATGGTAATCCCAGCTACTAGGGGGCACTGAGGCAGAAGAATCCCTTGAACCAGGAGGCGGAGGTTGCAGTGAGCTGAGATTATTAATTGCACTCCAGCCTGGGCAACAGAGTGAGACTCCATCTCAAAAGGAAAGGAAATCTGACCCCTCCTGCAGTGCTGCCTCTGGAACTACCGAAAATAAGATTAATCTCTTTTCCAAATGAGCAGCTTTCAACTCTGTGGGGCCACTTACCATGGCCCTGGAGGTCTCCTCTCTCCCGGGCTAACGACCCTCACATCCCACAGCCATTTCTCTTGTAAACTTCACTGGCAGGACCCCAGGCCTTGGTGCAGCAGCCTGGGAAGGGCAGCCTCCTCTCGGCTGGCCTGGGATCCAGAGAGAAGGGACACGGGAATGTGTGTGCTGTGCGTTCTTGTGGTAATTCCGCATTCAAAACCCCACATCCTAGCTGTAGCCTGGAGACGTCTGTGGAGGCTTCGAGACAATTTAGTTTAACCTCCTGAGTTAGTTTCCTAGGGGTGTCATCACAAATGACCCCAAGCTGGGTGGCTTCAAGCAACAGAAATGTGTCCTCACACAGTTCTGGAGGCTGGGAGTCGGACATCACGGCAACAGGGCTGGTTTCCTCTGCGGCTGTGAGGCGGAGTCAGCTCCAGGGCTCCCTGCAGCTCCTGGCAGGTGTGGGAAGCCTGGCAAGTGTGGGAAGCCCGGCAGGTGTGGGGAAGCCTGGCTGGTGTGGGAAGGCTGGCAGGTGTGGGAAGGCTGGCAGGTGTGGGGAAGCCCGGCAGGTGTGGGGAAGCCCGGCAGGTGTGGGGAAGCCCGGCAGGTGT